GAAAATGACTCCAAGCTAAATGTACTCCCCAGCCAGAAAACTTCTCCACAAAAGAGAGAAGAGAAAGTTTCCTTCTTGAATTCGCTTTGAATCAGAATGGCATGCATCACAATCAGGGAAAGAGTTTGTACAAAGACAATGCTCGTCCTCTAGAGCTGAGTGGTTAAAGCTTTACATTCAAGCTTAAGATAAAATTGCTAATTTTTTCTTTATCTCTGTGGCAGGTGACCTAAAGATCTGCTAATTAACTTCCTGGAACCTGGGGAGTGTGAGCTGTCTTGGGTTACTTTTCAAAAGAGATGGTTCCCAATCTTTAGGAAACAGCCATGTTTTTACAGACTTCAGAAAGACAAAGATTCGACCTTTACAAGTTACCTCAGTGAATTCTGAAGGGACAAAGAGGGGGAAAGCCTATTGCAGTATAAAACCCAAGCTCCCTGCCATCAGGTGGATGCCAGCTCACAGGGAGGGTGCGCTTGTGGCTTGGTGGGTCACCCATGGGGCTGCTGACCACAGTCAGCAGTTTGAATCTTCAGACAGGCCCCGGGACAGAGTCTTAGAAACCCATGGGGGCAATTCTGCCTGCTCTACAGGATCGCCAAGAGCGGGCGTCCACTCGATAGCAGTGGGTTTGGCTTTTTGAGCTTTTTGTTACAAGCTAGGGAACGCTGTTAGCGCTGTCAGGTAAGTACTGCACTGCTGACTGCAAAATTGGCGATTCCAACCCACCAAGCTCTCTGCCCGAGCAAGACGAGGCCGTCTTCTGTCATAAAGATTTAGCCTTGAAAACCTTGTGGCTAGCAGCCCAACGCTTAACCGACTGTACCACCAGCCCCTCTTTATTTCTTCCCTCCCAGAATTCCAACTCATAGCTACCCTATATAAGGTCTTTTGGGGAGCAGACAGCTCCATCTTTCTTTGAACCACCAACCTGTGGTTACCAGTCCAACCGCACCACTTTCCACTGGATCTTCCTCTCTCGCTCTCTCTCTGAAGGAGCCCTGATGGGGTTGCTAACCACAAGGCCAGCAGTTCACGCCCACCAGCTGGTCTGAGGAAGAAAGATGAGGGTGTCTACTCCTGAAAAGATTTAAAGTCTCGGGAAACCCAAAGAAGCAGATCTCTTCTGTCCTATAAGGTAACCAAGAGTGGAACTCCATGCCAAGGGGTTTGGTTTGAGTTTTCTTCTCCCTTTTTCCTCCTCCTTCCCCTCCCCCTCACCCAGGAAGTGTTTCTGTTCTTCTTAACCCTTTGTAGCATAACAATAAGATTCTTCAAGCAGTAGCACATTTTGATTAGAAAATACAACCAGTAAGAACTACCATTTCTTAGGTATCCATTATGTTCCATATGCCTCTCTCCTATTTTCAAAGGCCTGGAGAGCACTACTCAGACCTCAGCTTCCCGCACAGTCTGGGCATCTTTTCTTCCCATCCCTGGCTCCGCCCTGCCCTGAGGGGGGCCTGCCATGGGCCCCAGCCCACTCGCCACCTTCACAGGACAGCCTGTCCTTGGGCCTAGGTGAGTGAATGGCAGAGATCCAGTCCATAGTTGGAAACAAAATATAGAGACGTGAACCAGGCCCAGAGCAAGACTTACAGTCTGATGAAGACGTCTGAATCCTGCAGCACATCGAATGGTGACTCATGGTGCAGAGGAGATGTGCATCTGCGCAGGGGAGGAAAGGAGGGGAGAGAAGCTGAGTGACTAAGGGGGAAATTCCTGGGGTGTGGGGTGGGGTGTCCTAATGTGCCATTACATGCTTGAACCCAGCAGCCCAGGTGAAGTCAGGTGAAAGGGTTCAGAGGTAGAGGAAGGGCCAGGGCAGAGGAAGGTCCAGGAGGGACTCAGAAGTGACCCAGGGTCCAGCATTCCTAGACCCACCCTTGCTATCCATCATTCCCTTTTGGAGCCTGGCTCAGGTAGCAGGTGGCAACCAGGCTGGCTCCCGGGAAGACTGAAAGAATTCCTTTCAGGGAGGCCGTTCTTTGGCCCTGTGGGGCAAAGATCAGGCTTTCTGCTGCTGTGAAGAGGAACAGTCTTGGAAAACCACAGGAGCATTTCTACTCTGTCCTATAGGGTCCTTGTAAGTCAGTGGCAGTGAGTTCTGCTCCCGTGAGACCCCAGCTCTCTAGCCTTCGAGGGACTCAAGAACTCCGTTGTGATCTAGCCTGAGTGTTTCCTGGAGATGTTAGAAGTAAGCACACCTTTAGGGGTAGGACAGCATCCTTTCAGGATGGCATAAGGTCCTGTTGTTTGCAAGGCCCAGAGACAAATCTGGGTCTAGGGTCACAAGGGCCTGAAGGACTAATTCACACAACGGGAGCCATGCAGCTCTGTGCCAGGTCCCAACTGCTCTCCTCAGCCTGCCGGGAAAGCTTCGTCTCCTGCAGTCAGAGAATGGGAGCCAGGTCCCTCAGACGGGCCTTCAGTGTGACCAAGCGGGTTTCCCAAAGCTCGTCTTCTCCAGACTGTTTTGAATGTTATGAATGTGGTGGCGGGAATAAGACTGTAACTAATGCGTTATGATCATTATGGGCATTCATAAAGGGGTTGCTTCCATTGAATGCTTCATTTATATAAATAATAAATAAAATTACAATTATACAAATACGAGGGAGCTTCAAAACATTCATGGGGGAAAAAATGTAATGAAAAGATCATGGAATTCTTTCCACAGACTTTTTGGAAGCCCCCTTGTATTAACTAAGTTTCAAGAGCCCCAGTGGCCCAGTGATTAGACACTGCTGCTTACCCAAAGGTCAGCGGTTGAAACCCAAGAGCAGCTCCGAAGGGGAAAACGGCCCGGCGGTCTGTTCCCATGAAGGTACAGCCTTGGAAACCCGACTGGGCAGTTCTACCAGGTTTGTTCCAATGGTCACTAGGCGACAGAATCAACTGGACAGCATCATGTGATTGAGTTTCGGTTTGTTACTGCAGCCCAAGGAAATGGCCAGAGAGATAATGTCACTGAATTTCAGGTGGGGCTGAGGTTGAAATGGCTTGACCGAACTTCATAGACTGTGTATCCTTGACACTGACTTTGGGACGTCTCAGGGGGCCATGAGGAGAGAGCAGACTTGACAAAGACCTCTCTGCAGCTGAGCCAGAGGCCCCAGGACTGTACTAGGGACATACCCTGTTTCCCCAAAAATAAGGCAGTGTCTTATATTAATTTTTGCTCCCAAAGATGCGCTAGGTCTTATTTTTGGGGGATATCATTTTTCCATGAAGAAGAATACGGTACAAATTTATTGTTTTATTAAAAGAGACCTCACACTTCCTGTCTGCTCCAGCTGCACTGGGTCCAACATGAGCTGCGCGGCGGAGCCCACCGCTACGGTCCAGAGTCCAGAGTTATGGTAGCTTGGGGGGGCCTTATGTTCGGGGAGGTCTTATTTTCAGGGGGATACCTTATATTTCAGCAAGAGGCAAAACTGTAAGTAGGTCTTATTTGGGGGGTGGTTCTTACTTTCGGGGAAACACGGTAGGTGCCACACGTCAGCAGAGATAGCAAATTGGGGTTTCAAATGTTAACCACAAACTGCAGTGGCAAATGCTCAGTTGTAGAAGTAGCTCTGGAAAAGAACTTCCTCTCCCGTGGGCCACTCTTTGGTGCCTGTCAGTGTGAGAAGCTGGGGTGATTTACTTAACTGAGCTTAATTATTCTCCTGGGGAATGCCTGGGAGGCCGGCTCTATAAGTTCATATTGTAAATGTGAACTTGTGAAACAAGTTTATACTAGTGAATCAACCGTTTCTGGAGATCTCTGCCTCTGATTTTTTTTTAAAGCATGTTTTACGGTTAGACTCTTTGAAGTTTGTTGGGATAGAGAGTTGTATAACCAAAGCTAAAGGAATCCACACAGTTTTTTAAAGTAGATACTCAGTTCACATTGGATGATGTTACTAACGCAGTGGGTGTTAATAGGCTAGGCTCTAGAAACTCTTCTGAACCCCATACCTCCCTACCACATGGAGAAACAAGGATATGACATACACGTGTAGGCCAGGTTTAACTAGATGTGGGCAGGCACCAGCAGTTCTTCTAGTTCTGGACTGGCTAAGGGTTTTGCTGTTTAACCTACTTAAGCCCTGTTGACTATAGATGAGTCTGCTGTTGTTGGGCAGTCTGGGCGTGTCTTTCTTTCAGCACTGTACCTCACTTTTGATTTTGGATTAGGGAAAGGCTTACAGAGCAGGTCAGTTTTCCTTTCAACGATTCACACAATCTTAAGGAAAAGTTCCACCAGAAGCCCGGTGTCCTAGTGGTTACACATTGAGCTACTAACTTCAAGAATCAGCAGTTTAAAACCACCAGCTGCTCCATGGGAAAAAGAGAGGCGTTCTACTCCTGTAAAGAGTTACAATCTTGGGCACCATTCTTTACTGCCCTCTGGGGTGACTATGAGTCAGAACCGACTCAATGGCTGAGAGTTTGGTTTTGGTTTGGTAGGAACAGACCATCAACTGCTCATCGGTAAATTCAAGTTGAAGCTAAAAAAAAATAGAACAAGTCCATGAGAGATGCAACCTGGAATATATCACACGTTAATTTCTAGAACATCTCAAGAATAGATTTGATTCACTGACCACTAATGACAGAAGACCTGAAAGCTGTGGAATAACATCAAGAACATAATACATGATATGTGATTCGTCGGTGCTGTACTGCACCCTGGTTGAATCCTCCCTTCCTTGTAACTCTTCTATGAGGGGGACATCCAATTGTCTATAGATGGGCTTTGGGTCTCCATTCCAACCCCCTTCTTTCACATCAATATAATTATTTGTTTTAGATCTTTTGATACCTCATACCCGATCCCATCAACACCTCATGATTACACACAGGCTGAAGTGCTTCTTCCATGTGGGCTTATTTGCTTCCCTGCTAGATGACTGCTTGTTTAATTATAAGCCTTTAAGTTCCCAGATGCTATATCTTTTGATAGCTGAGCACTACGCGCTCTCCACCACATTTGCTTATGCACCCATTTTATCTTCAGTGATCATGTCTGGAAGGTCAGTATCAAAGAGTGTCAGGTTATTAGAACAAAGTGTTCTTATGCTTAGGGAGGCCTTGAGTAGAGGCCCAAAGTCTACCTGATATCTTAATGCTTAACATATAAATATATGTACATTGGCCTCTATCCTTTTTAGTATAAATTAACATATTTACATGTATACATGCCTATGGCTATGCCTCTATAAATAGCGCTTGCTTCCTACTTCTTGCCTCTATTTCCTTTCACCTTCCTCCGGTCTCACTATCATGCTCACCTTCTATTTGGCTCTCAGTATATTCCTCTTGCATACATTTCACTTGATCAAACCCCACCAGGCCTCCTCACCATCATTTTTAGATCTCTTGTTGTTCCCTTATGCCCGAGTTTGTTGGCTCCCTGTTCTCCCTCCCTGGCCCACACTCTACCATGTCCCCCTGGGACCACAGATCCTGTTGTTTTCTCCTCAGGATTGTTTGTCCTGCCTATTTTATATAGATAGACATAGGGTGAAAGAAAACAACAATACCAACATCTGATAGAAAGTTCCAGGTCTATCTGCTGGCCTTATGAGGATTTTCCAATCCAGTCTGATGGGGTGCCAAGCCCTGCCCCTGAGTCAGAAGTCTATGTTCAGGATTCCTCAGGGACTTGGTTACTTTGCTCCCCTTGCTGCCCTGCTGCACTCCCTTCACCTTTCACCCTGCTGTGCGTGAGGCAGACCAGGCACACCTAAAGCACAGTGCCTCCAGTGCTGCCCCCTGTAGAGCTATAGGTCAATGAGGAACCCAGCAGGGATGTCATCCCTGGGGCTTGCTGGGTCATGATGAGGCTCACTCTCTCGCTCGCTCTCTCTCTCTCTCTCCCTCTTAATTCACACCTGTGTGGTCTGGGCAGACCCACCACTCTCCCAGGGCTATTATCTTCAGTGCTGTCCTCTGTATTACATTCTTCAGGGGAGGGGGTCAACATAGCTAGACTTGGGCTCAGCCCCATTACCCCATTATCCTCTCTGTTAGTTCGCTGCTCCATGCCAGTATGTTGTCCTCAAGGCGTGGCACTCTGGATGGGGTCTGATCCCTCTCTCCCTTTCCTGTGGAGACATAAACAATACCCCCCCCCATGGGTGTATTAGTGCCCTGTTCCCCCATGACCCTCATTTTATTTATTTTTTTCTCTCTTTTCCCCTCAGACAAGAGCTCTTGACACACGGAATCCAGGACAGATAACCCCGCAGGAACATTAATGGGAGTAGTGAGATACCATGAGGGTAGGGAGAAGGGGGAGAAAGGAGAACCATGATCAACATAGTCACCTCCCCTCTCCCCTCACCTGGCCCAGGGGGACAAACAACTGAAACGTGGGTGAAGGAAGATAGTGGATGGTATAAGATATGAAAATAAAAATAATGTATCAAGAGTTCATAAGGCTGGGGGAGAGAGGGGAAAATTGCTGATACCAAGGGCTCAAGTAGAAAGAATATGCGTTGAAAATGATGGCAACATACGCACAAATGTGATTGATACAAATGATGTATGGATTGTTATAAGAGCTGTAAAAGCCCCCAATAAAATGAGTTATAATAATAATTTTTAAAAAGCTTCCCACCCAGAGTATATGGAGGCTATAGCTTTAAGACATCCCTTCTGTGGCTAGGGGCAAGGAGCCCTGGGAGTGCTGATTGGGCTGTTATCCACAGTGCTGGCAGTTCAATTCCACCAGCTGCTCCAAGGTAGAATGAAGAGGCTGTTTGCCCAGGCCAAGCTCCCACGACCCATTCACCAGACATTCCCTCCTTGGGCTCTAGTCTCTGCATGCCTGCAGGTACGGTGGCTTACTTGTTGGGCTGTTGCCCTCAAGGTCAACATTTGAACTTAGCAGCAGCTCTGCTGGAGAGATGTGAGGCTTTCTGTTCCATAAAGAAACTCAGTTTCAGAAACCCCCAGGGACAGTTCTACTCTGCCCCCGGACAGGGTCACGGTGAGTCAGAATTGACTCCAGGGCAGTGAGTTTCATTGTGGTTTTGAGGCTAAAGAGCAGGATTGGTCAACACAAGTGCTGCCTCCCAGCCCTTGACCGTTTTTTGTCCCTTGTGTGGAAACTGGAAACCACTGCTGGAGAGTCCTTGAGGTGTGACCTTAAACCAGCACTCCCCTCTGTCACTATGAGTTGGAATAGACTCAACGACAGTGAGTCTGCTGCCTCCCCCGCCCCCGCCCCCCTGGTACTGCCACACAAGACTTCTATTGAGAAGAACTTCTAGGGTATAAAAGAGCATCCAAATGCTTTTTGCGCCCTGGTCCTTGCCTCCAGAGCCTCCACAGGTCCACCAGAAGAGCAGATTCCCGTTCTGTTGAATTATGTTCATATTGAAGATACACTGGACCTCAGCTCCAAATCCCTCCTGACGGATGTAACCTGACCCTCAGTGTCCAGTTTTCCTGGGCCTGCAGGACAGTGAGCATTCTTTCTTCTCTTGTGACAAACGAGTGGCTGTTCCTTGAACAGCCCCTGGTTTCTCTACCTCCCTTCAGATAGGGTGAAAATCTGGTCCAGAAGCAAAGAGTGGAAGTTGATGAACAGCCCCAGATATTTATCTTGATGAATAGAAACAGAAAATTGGAGACCTCACGGAATTTGTGAGAACCTTTGGTGAGCCGAATACAAGTATTTGGAAGCTGTAGCTTTGTCCCTTCTATGGCTGAGGACAAGAACCTGGCGGTGCTGCTTGGTGGACTGCTACCTGCAATATCGGCAGTTCCAGTCCACCAGCGATGCTAAGGGAGAATGATGAGGCTTTCTGCGCTGATAGAGATACACAGTCTTGGAAACTCTACGTAGGGGACTGTGAGTCAGAATCTACATGATGACAGTGGGTTAGGTTGGGTTTAGGTGACTTGGAATAGAGTTTTGCCCCTTGGTGTGGATCTAGAGACAAATGGGGTTGTGTCTTTCTTCCTGAGGTAGCTTCTTGGAAGGAGCCAAGGTAGGAAAGACGTTCTGGGGCCCAAGGGAGGCAGGGGCTTCTCTCCATTTGTTCTGCCACCTCAGCTTTGGTTTCTCAGGGAAGTTGGGAGACACCTCTTCTGGGGAGAAAG